TTACAGGGTGAAACTTGTGGTTCATCAGGCTCTGGTCTCCCTATGGAGAAAATATTCCTGTTTTACATGCAGAAAATCTAAGCTTGATGCATCATCCTCACAGTGCAGGAATGAGTCAGCCCAAGGCCAGGTGCAGGACAAAGGGGTGTGACAGTACAAGTGGTGACCTGTAAGGGGAATTGAAATAAGTGAACTTCTAAGGTTTCAATAAAGCTTCCTCAGCCCGGGGGAGTGTGTAACTGCATCTGTTTGTTGTGCAGGTCTGTTACTGTGTGGTGCTGCGTGGGTCAGGTATGGACAAATGTGCCCTAACTTGCAGTCTGAGCCAGTCCTTGGTCTGTAATGCTCTGTGTCAGCACTGACCTGGACTGAGGAGAGGCAGAAGACATGCTGCACAGCTTATTGTAGCTGATGCTTGTGATTAGAAGATGGTTCTGGAGATGATGCTGCTATTACAGGCAGTAAAACTAAGTAGTTCCCTCTTGAGCTTAAAGCATAATGGAGATTTTTTCCCCCCTTTATTAGGACCCAAATAAAAACTCCACATTCAATTCCTTATTACACGTAGCTTATTGCTTTAGTCCTACTGTTGCAGCCTTACAGTTGCAGCATAAATAGAGTTAAAAGCCAGAGAGTCTGGGTCTGCAGCCCCCCAAAACTCCAAGGAGGGCTGAACACTGGACTGGAACATCCCGAGGGTAAAAGCCTGGGGAGCTTTGTGTCCTGTTCAGCTCTGTGGGGCCTGCTGGAAATGTGAGTCCCTAATTTATACTGCCATTCTGGGGAATCAGAGTCAGATTCAGGGAGGATTCCCTACGAAGGGGAATCTGTCAGGGCACTCATCAGCATTTCTCTTTGCTGAGCTGTCAGCAAACTGTCTGTCCCTCTGCCCCATCTTTTAAAGTGGTTCAAGGGTTTGGGGTGAGTATCTCTGTTTGCTCAATAGTGCAAGGAGAAGCAGTTTTCCCAGATAATTTAGGGCAGGTCAGGTGATGGGGAATGTCTGCAATGGCTTTAATTTGGCTTGTCACGAGGTCTGGGAGGTGCATCCTTAATTTGTAGATTACAGATCTTTTGGAGGAGGTTGGGGATAGCTCATAGCAGAGCAACATCATTAAAATAATGAGGAATTATTCACAAGACCTTTTTAAACCCCAGAGCTTTGGTGCAGGTTGTTACCTAGATGTAACATCTCGTGCTTGGCCCAAAGCTGTTGTGAAGGGAGCAGTTCTAGCATGGTGACCAATCTAGGAGTGATTAGATATTAGTGCTGTGATTCCTGATCTGGTGATTCTCCTCTGCTCATCTGAAATTGCTTGGACTTGCCTGGAGTCATTCAGTTTTCCTCCACCTTTGCTCTCCTGAGCGTTCCTAGGCAAACCCACAACTTGTTTGGAGGAACCACTGAATCCTATGGAGGAGTTCAGATTTCACAAGGAACAGTGAGCTAAAACTGGGCGAACTTAGGGCAAGAAAAGCATTGCACTTACATGACTGAGGTCAGGGGAGAGCAGGAGCAAAGTGCAGCAGTGAAAACTCATCATATTTAGCCTCACACAGCTTGACTGAGGAGCACATTGCAAACTACACGCAAAGACATTATCCACCAAAGTAGCTGAAACCAGAAAAGTCATTTTCTGTACCTAACTTCTGCACCAGAGTATCACCTCAGAATCTAAAGTATTGATTGCAGGGCCTGAAAGCAGTCACAGGGAGAGGATTGTTGAGATTTGTTTAGCCAGTTCAGGAACAAGGTGTTCCCCCAACACCACAGTTCCTGCTTCTTTAGCTAATGTCAAGGGAAGTCATATTTTTCTTTTGTGTGGTTCAAGAGGCAAAAGAATGTCCTGTGCCAGTGAGGAGCATAAGGAAACAAATACTGCCAGATGTTCACTGAAGTATGACCTGCCCTTAAACCAGACATTTGAAAACTAGCCTTTAGTTTAACACTGTCTGCAGCAGAAGGACCTGGTAAAGCAGCTAGAGAAAAGCAACTCCTGGCTCACCCCTGAGCTGTTTGTACCTGTTCCCAGGTTTCCCATCATTCCAGCACCGAAACTTCCCTGTAAATCTGAAAGTCCCTGTCAGTGTTTCAGAGCTGTATATCCCAATCCAAGCCCAGTGGCTGCTGTGGACTCCTGTGCACCGTGAGTGTTTGTGTGGGGAGCTGAGGAGATGTGCTTAACTCAGAAATAGCTCTTTTCCTTGGAAAGCTGAAGGGCTGAATCACTGTGTTGGCTCAGTTTTTAGCAGACAAACCATCACATATGCCTCCCTGTAGGCGAAGAGTCGTCACTGGCATCAGGATTAGCAGCCAGGTTCCTTGCCTTTGAAAACCAGGGAATAATGATGCTCAGGGCTAAGGCTGATTGTAGGCAGGGTCAGAGCTGGAGGCTGCCCAGGGCTGGGGCTTGGGGAGGTGGGCTGAGCACTGCTGTGTCCCTGCTCAGCCTGCCCTGCTCCCTGTGTGCTTCTCTTCCGAAGGAGCCACAGAACACACCCCCAAATTGAACTCTGGGGACAAAATAAGTTACTTTGCTCAGAGGCATTAACCACTCCAGTGCTGCCTGTGGAGCTGAGATGACTAGATCCAGCCCTGACCGTACCCACCGTTCTGAGTCGACTGAAAATATTAGTGACATGGCTAAATAGGAACACCAGAGAAAAAATGGGGAAACCTGGGAGGGGACAAGACAGCTCCTGAGCTGAGGTACCTGAAACTGAAAGCCCCTGAGAGACAGCACTAGCTTGACAGACACTGATGGACTCTGAGAGCCTGTGGAGTCCACCTGATAATGACTACAGAAATCCAGACACATATTTTCCTGGAACAGAGAGTAAGTCTTTAAATCCACACCACTCCTGATTCCCAGCAGTCCAGAGGAAGTCTTGGGGGAAAAGGGGATGAGGGAACTAGTGCAAAGTTTTTGAAGTCTTGAGGGAAAAGGGGATGAGGGAACCAGTGCAAAGTTTCTGCAGTTAGCACAAGAAATAAATGATAGATATGGATTTAAAAATGCTTTGGAGACGCAGGAATTTTTGGAGCTGTAGTTTTGGTCTCGATGGCCTCACTACTGCAGTAGCATTAATTTTCAAGCCTCCCCTCCAGGTTCAGGACTAACAAGCAGTGCCACAGTTGCGAGAACAGTGGACTGGGAGTTCCTGAACCAACTGGTTGCTGACCATGAGTCAGGGGAATGACCTTGCAGCAGGCAGCTCGCGGTACCTCTCGGAGCTGTGCCAGTATAAACGGCACTGGCATCTCTGAGTGCTGGTGGAACCATTTTGTGAGATTCCAACTTGGCCTTTTCTCCTGCTGCCTTTCAGCTGAAACTTTTGGGTGGGGGAGAATGGGATAGAGTATTCCCTTTTCATTCCATAACGAGGGCATCCTCACACCTGGCCTTGGGACTGTCTGTATACCATATAGAGGATATAGACAACTCCTATCTCTTGCTTACATCTCTGTCCACTAGCATCAGCCCTTCAGATATTTACCCAAATTAAATCTTACCCTCCCCCCCCAGCCACACCCTTTTTAAACTGTCAGAAAACACCATGATCAAGTTTGAGAAAAAAAAATACACATCAGCACTGAATTTTCTGGATAGGTATGGAAGTGATTTGTCAGAGGAGTGAGGGGAGAATACTTGGCATTTGGACATTTTAATGAATCTCCCCAGATATGAAAAGAAAAAACCGATTTGCTCGTAGACTTTAAGCTCCTCACAGCATCAGGAAAGCTCCTGACACAGAGCCCAACGCTGTATTTGTCTAACATGGAAATGAACAGCAGCAGCACTGCAGGCTCCGAGTCTACTCTGCGAGCAACAAAATGGCCAGAGGTGCTGTTGTGTTCCTCCGGATTCCTTCACCCTTTGGGGGTGTGGAATAGGTGGATTGGATACCCCTGTGCTGCCACTTCGGGTATGGTTCGAACTAACTGTGTTCAAGCTTGTGCCCTCATCAGCTCAACTCCCTAAAGCACAGACAGGAACCAACAGCAAAATTCGTCTGCGTCACAGCTGTAACATGACCATCGGCAAAACAAGTGCAGGAGGAGATCATGGCTGTCTCGTCACTCAGAGCCTTCCTTCGCTATCACCGAGTGAGAGGGTAATGCTTTTACATTTTTATCATGAGCATTTGCAACCCTTAGCTCCCTTCACCGAATCGGGTGGTCCCCGAATGGTCAGGGCGCCCAAGAAAATGGCGTTTGTTGTGTCACCGCGAACGCTGCGTCACGATGCCGCACTAAGGCCGAGACACCGAGCAAACCCCAGAGCAAGGAAACCCGAACACAGAGAAATGAATCAGCTTGCACAGTGTCACACACACCAGTGTCAGAAGGAGGAAGAAATCACAGCTTTCCCCAAGTCCTTTTGCAGCAGTATGCGGAAAACAATTACGGAGCAGTTAGCCACGTAGAGCTCACAGTGACAATGCCATTCCCTGTGCACAGAACCACTGCTGTCCTACAGAAATGTGCCATGTCCCTTTCTTAGCCTTGTTTCTTGCCAGTCCCACAGATTTACCTCCTGACAGTAACCTCAATTCCTGAGTAATGAGATTTACAGCTGAAGTTTAACATTGAAATAACTCCTCTTTTATCTGTGTCTCCTTACCCTCCCTGCATTCAGTCGCAGTCAAAGATGGCACAAAGATGGTGGCGAGAGGAACCAAACCAAATGCATCCCTGCCCTGAACACACTCGAAAGGTATGGATACACCAGTGGCACCTCCTTTAAAGCACTGAGACAGGTCATAAAGCAGCACTAGTTTGACAAATTAAGGGCTCCTTCACCCCGCTGCGACGGGGAGAACCGCAAAGAGTTGTCCTTTCACTCAGCACTGAGAAAAACAGACTCGACCCACCCGTCCTCCATGCAACTGAGCATCATGGCTTAGTCCAGCTCCTGGCCATACAGAATTCCCTCTGTGGCTGCCTCGGACTGTCCCTGTGTGTGTGTGTGTCTTTATGCCTGTCTGTCTCGCTGCAGGGACCACCGTCGTCGCTGCTATTCCTGTTGTTCCCCTGCTCTGCGGATCTGGCGCTGCAGGAGGCAAAGATGCTCCAAGGGAGCCAGCTACAGCCAGCGAAGGCTCAGTGAGTCAGGAGGGGTTGTGACGACTGCAGCAAAGAGTCTGAAATTCCCTATGGAATCTGGCAGAAAAGGAGGGGAAGGAAGCAAGGTGGAGATGGGAAAGAGGAGAAGAAAGTGGGGAGTGGCACGTACTGGCTGTTTTCTTCTTCCCTCCCCGTTCCTCCCACCGCAATGCCGATGGAAATGGCGCCCGTCCTCCTCCCCTGCGCGGAACTGCGCAAAGCCGCGGAGTCGGGGAGAAATCCGCAGCGCCCGCGCCGCCACCGCCCCGAAACCCGCTCGGGGTGTGGTGGGAACACAGCCCCTCTCTCTCTGCCTCTCTCCCAGACTGCTGTGCAGGGCACGGGCTGCGGCCGAAGCGATGGAGACGGCGGCCGCGCCATGGCTGAGCCGGTTCCCAGCCCAGCGGTTGTTGCTAAACAACCAGCCCTGACGCTGGAGATGTCAACGAGTGAGTAATATAGATTAAACGCTTATGCTATCACATCCTTGAACTTGTTTAAGCCTCAGTAGGATGAAAGGCTATGGAATAATGTTCCCTGCCGTATGAGAAAGCAAAGTTACCACTCCACTGCATAATCGGGAGACTTCCTCGGCCAGAAGGACCAAGCTCAAGGCTGGTTGTGTCCTCAGCACTTCCAGGCAGAGTTGCCGTCTTCATTGCTGGTCGCTTTAAGAAGAGAGGTGAAAAAATAGTATAGTAAATGGTTAAGAGGGAAAAATGTTCTTCATTTCCTCATCCTCTCTCTCTGGAGCCGCTCTCTGCCCTCAGTCTCTCATTCCTCCTTACCTAGTCCTTCCCAGTCCTTCGCTTGCTGCTTCCTAACGCTGTTAGTCCTTTGCAAACCTTTCCAGATCCGTGATTTGGGGTCCTCAGCTCTCCCTGACCTCACCGAGCCTGGGGCAAACTCGCACTTAAGCAAACAAAAACCGACTTGGGGCGAGAGTCACTTTCACTCTTTTAACCATTCCTGCAACATAATTTCCAGCTGCCATCCCTACCCCGCCCACTTTCCAGTCCTGCTCATCCTCAACCGCCTCACAAAGGCGAAAGGAGCACGGAGAAAAACCCTCAACCCCAATACTTTCCCCTTTTCCACGATTTGCAGCTCTGACACGTCATCATCGCAACCGGACGGCGCAACGCGACCTCCAGGGAGCACCGACGGGCGCGAGGGCTGACCACACACTGCACCCAGGAGTTCAGTGCTCCTGCCCTGCCTGCTGGTTCTGCCTGGGGACACCCGGGAGCCTGGGAGCGGTCGCAGGAGTGTCGAGTGACGGGCAGCAGGAAGGAGCAGTTTGCAGGAGGCAGGAGCGACGAGCAGCGTGCAGGAGCAGCGTCCAGGAGCAGCGTGCAGCAGGCAGGA